TTCAAAAAATTAATAAAACTGATAATCCTCTAGCATGATGAACAAAGATAAAAGGAGATAACACACAAATCACCAATATCAGGAATGAAACAAATATCACAAAAGAGCCTGCATCCATGAAAAATGCTATAAAAATTATATGCTGACAAATTTGACAGCCTAGGAAAAAATGGATCAATGCCGTGAAAATCACAAATTACCATAACTCAGAAAAGATGAAATATATAACCTGAATAGTCCTATAACCGTTATATAAATTGGATTTGTAACTAAAAATCTCCTGAACACAACATATCCAGACCCAAATGGTTTCACTGGAGAATTTACCAAATATTTAAAGAAGAATCAACGAGAGTTTTACACAATCTCTTCCAGAAAATAGAATAGAAAGGAACATGATATCATTATCCTGATATCAAAACAAAGCAAAGACAGCACAAAGGAAAGAAGGGAGGGAGGGAGGGAGAGAGGAGGAAGGTACAGAAGAAAGAACACTGCAGGCTGATTTTGCTCATAAGCCTAGATGGAAAAATCCTCAAGACAGTGTTAGCAAATCAAATTTAGCAATGCATAAAAAGAATAGTAGACCATCTCTACTAAAAATTCCAAATTAGCCAGGCGTGGTGGTACATGCCTGTAACCAGCTACTCGGGAGGCTGAGGCAGGAGAATTGCTTGAACCCAGGAGGTGGAGGTTGCAGTGAGTCGAGATCACACCAATGAACTCCAGCCTGGGAGATGGAGACTCCAGCTAAAAAACTTTAAAAAATATTTTTTAAAAAAATAGTGAATAACAGCAAATCCTGGCAAGGATGCAGAGACACCAGAGCACCCACACTTGCTGGTGAAAATGTAAAATGGTACAGCCACTCTGGAAAAAATTTGGCAGTTCCTTATCAAACTGAAAATGTACTTATCATAGGACCAAGAAAATGCAACCATGGGCATTTCCAGGACACAAACAAAAACTTGTTTTTAGACAGAATTTTATATACAAATGTTCATAGCAGCTTTATTTGTAATAACCCCAAACAGAAAACTACCCAGATGTCCTTTAATGGTGAATGGTTGGATACATTGCGGTACATCCATATTATAGAATACTACCCAGCATTACAAAGAACAATCTACTGACACATGAAACAACTTGAATGAAACTCAAATAAATTATCAATTTTAAAAAGTAAGTCAATCTTTAAAAGGTACATACTATATGATTCCATGTATATAACATTTGTGAAATAACAAAATTACTAGCAAAAGTTTTGCTCCTCGTCCCCAATACCTTATGCTCTGCTGGCCTAGAGGTCTTAGTTCCAGAGGGAGGAATGCTGCCACAAGGAGACACAGCGATGATCCATTGCACTGGAAGTTTAGGCTGCCACCCAGCAGCGCCAAGCTCCTCATGCCTCTGGATCAACAGGTAAAGAAGGAGTTCCTGCGCTGGTGGGGGTGGCTGGTCCAGACCACCAAGGAGAAACTGCCCTGCTGCTTCACAACGGACTGGGGAAGAGCATGTCTGGGGTATAGGAGGGCTCTTGGGGAATGTGCTGTGATTAAGATCAATGGAAAAGCACAACAACCCAATCTAGGCAGGATTAATAATGGTCCAGAACCTTTGGGAATGAGGGATCCCCACCAGGTTAAAAACCACAACCAGCAGAGGCTTCCTGAAGGCAAAGGGAATACATACTGGGGAGTGGAAGAACGTAGTTATAGGACCATGTGACCAGCTACAGAAACCAGGACTGCAATTGTCATGAGTGTCTCCTCTTTATTTGGTACCAGAGAGAGAGAGAGAGGGAGAGAGTGTGTTTAAAGTTTTGGAAGAAAACATAGGAAGAAATCTTCATCACTTGAGGTTAGGGAAATTGTTCTTAGACATGACGCCAAATGCATGTAAAAGCAAAAATCCATCAATTAGACGTAACCAAAATAAAAAACATAGCCTGGAAAAAGACACTATTAAAAAACACTGAAAAGACAGCTAAAGGCTGGGAGAGAATATTTGCAAACCACATATCCAACAAAGAAAGTAGTCTGGCATATATAAAGAACTCTCAAAATCAACAGTTAGAAAACCATCCAAACAAAAGTGGGTAAAAGACTTGGATCCTCACTGAAGAGGACGCTCTATGTGGAAGACAGCAAGCCTATGAGAGACCATCAACACTAGTCATTAGGGAAATGCAAATCAAAACCACAGTGTGGTGACACTGGAAAGCACTTTGACAGTTCTGTTAAACCACATAGCCCAGCAGTCCCACAACGATTTTCCCTGCAATAAGGAAAAATTGTGTTCACATGAAAACCTCTGCACAAATATTTATAGCAACTCTGTCCATAATCGCCCAAATCTGGACACAACCACATGTCCTCCCATGGATGAAGGGGTAACCACCCGTGTCTCCCTGTGCAGGCAAACACCATTCCACAATAGAAAGGAACATGCCACTGACACACAGAGCACTGGGGTGGATCTCAAAAACATGATGCTTAGCAAAAGCAGCCAGTTACAGAGATCCCATGCTGCGTGTCTCCACTCACGTGACCTTCCCGAGACAACAGTGTGACAGGGATGGAAGGCGCATCAGCACTCAGCAGGGTTGGGTGGGGAGGGCTGGACTCCAGCAAGAGGGGTGCAGTTCCTCGGCATCCTTGAGTGGAACTTTGTACATGTGAAAATTCTCAGACCTAAACAGCTCTTTTAAATGGGACCAGATGGGGAAATAAAACTAACATTTTTGGTCATCTGTTTCATATCAGTCACCACAGGTACAGTTGTGACCTTTGAACAACAAGTGTCCAAACTACATGGGTCTACCTACATACAGATTTTTTTCTTAAAAAAAAATTTTTTTTTTTTTTGAGACAGAGTCTCTCTCTATCGCCCAGGCTAGAGTACAGTGGCGTGATCTCGGATTACTGCAAGCTCCACCTCCCCGGTTCACGCCATTCTCCTGCCTCAGCCTCCCGAGTAGCTGGGACTACAGGCACCCGCCACGACGCCCGGCTAATTTTTTGTATTTTTTAGTAGAGACGGGGTTTCACCATGTTAGCCAGGATGGTCTCGATCTCCTGACCTTGTGATCCACCCGCCTTGGCCTCCCAAAGTGCTGGGATTACAGGCGTGAGCCACCACACCCAGCCTTAAAATTTTTTTTTTAAATTTTTTAATTAAATCTTCTTAAATAGACATGGGGTCAGCCAGGTGTGAAATGGCAAGCATGTCACCAAATGATAATACTTAAAGCAAGTTCACAGGTTTTGTTAAAAAAAAGAAACAATCTAGTACATCCACGAATAGGAAACCAAACACACCTGAACACATCTATGATTAAATAAGAATATTTAATGGCATGGAATGATATGTACACTGTAGGTTCAATATGTTTTCAAAACATACCCAGCACCTATGGCTGCCTGTGCACAGTGAAAGCATAGAAAGGTATAACAGAGTAATTTTTACAATTAATAAAGTTCAATGCAATTGAGAAAGGTTTCTATAAAAATTGTTAAAATATTTTAGAGGGCAAATGCTTACTTTGCATAGCAATGCTTCAGTTACCTGGAATGCCCTCCCTTCTTTCTTCCAAGCAATTTTATGCAGTGCTAAGCTCAGTGGCTCTTACTCCAAGTGCCAGCAAGGTGAACAACCCAGTTCCTGCTCTCAGGGGACTCACATTCTAGTGGAATTTATTTTTGCAACATACTTGCTGACAATATCAAATGAATAAGCTATTAGTATTGAAAAGTAATTTACACACTCTCCAGTGTGGTCTTCATTGTGACATATGTCTTCCTATGAGATGGATGCAAACTCACAGCAAAAACTATGTGTATACATACAGCCACATGCCGCATGACTTTCAGTCGATGACGGACCACATATATGGCGGTGGGTCCAACATATCCCATTTTTGCTATGCCTCTTCTATGTTTCGATACATAAATGTTTACCACTGTGTTACAACTGGCTACAGTAGTCAGTACAGTCACATGCTTTCCAGGTTTGTAGCCTAGAAGCAATAGGCCATACCATAGAGCCCAGGTGCACAGTAGGCTGTACCATCTAGGCTTGCGTGTCACTCTATGATGTTTGCACAATGACAAAATTGCCTAATGATACATATCTCAGAATGTATCCCCATGCTTAATTGATGTGTGACTGTATTTTACTAACCTGGCCAGGTGGGACCTTCACCAATAAAAATTCTACATAGAAAATGCTATTTATTATTTCTTTCAGACATTAGAGATTCCTTAACTTTAGTTTTAAATAATCTTGATATACAAACTTTTTATTTCCCTTGTTCTCCAAATATGGTAAACCAAGATTTTTCATATTAACAGGTACGACTTCTACCTACATATATTGATTGCCTTTGGAAAAGACAATTATCTGCAACTGTAATTAAACATTCTTTTATTTCTCCCATTGCTTAAAGGAGTTCACTCTTCTGGCTGAAATATAAAACTATACAATTATAAATACTTATTTGCAAGGCTTCTCTTTGAACAAATTTGCTTGTTGTATAAGCCACTTGTTGATCACTTTATAAGCTACTTAATTATAAAACATGGTATGACAGAGTGTCTTGTATAGTTTAATTGAATTATAGTTTTGCATTTTAAAATGTACAGATTATGCTATATAACATATTAGTTTTAAATTGTTTTATAATTGTTATGGACTTACTATGTGTCAGTCCCCAGATCTATCAGCATGCTGGATGATGAAATTCATAATAGCTCTTGAGAAATAGAAGAAAATTTACACCCAGAGTTGCTCAGAAAGGTCTGGGCATGTTCCAACTATCACATCCCAGATGGACCCAGCCCTGATGGGATCCTCACATCCCCTTCCCTTCTTATGGAGACACAAAGCTGAGCACCTGTCTATTGACAGCTTTTGGCTTTTAGACAGCCTCTCAGACTAGGCCAACTGCTCACAATCCTGCTGACCCTCTTTGGCCCCTATGATGTTGTAAAGGCAATGCAGTACTCATGTCAGCAGCACACATACTATAACTGGCACAACACAGAGGTCAGCATGGGCCCCGTGCACAGATGACATACAAATTCATGAAGTGTTCTACATATATATATGTGTATATATATGTTCTACATATATATGTGTGTATATATTTGTTCTCCGTATATATATGTGTATATATATTTTTATATAGGTATATATAAATATACATTTTTTTTTTTGAAACTGGGTCTTGCTCTGTCATCCAGGCTGGAGTGCAGTGGTGCTATCACGGCTTACTGCAGCCTCGACCTCTTGAGCTCAAGTGATCCTCCTGCTTCAGCCTCCCAAGCAGCTGGAACTGCAGGTGTGCACCACCACATCTGGCAAATTTTTGTATTTTTTGTAGAGATGAGGTTTCACCATGTTGCCCAAGCTGGTCTCAAATTCCTGAGCTCAAGTGATCCTCCTGCCTTAGCATCCCAAAGTGCTGGATTACAGGCGTGAGTCACTGTGCCCAGCTGCATTCCATATTTCTACACACACATGCACACATGGAGGAGTATACTTGGGGAAAGTAAAGCTGGGGAAATGTGAATAAAATCAGTGGGTTGTATTGATATCAATATCCTGATTGTGATATGTGTGAAATGTTACTGCTGAAAGAAATTGGGCAAAGTATACAACTATGTGTGACTCTATGATTACATTGTATAGGATTAGATTGCAATAATTATATCAACATATAATCACAAAATACATTCATTGCCTTTATAATAGTATGATTATATCAATATAATGTTTAATTTTTTAAAAAGGCAATGAGCTGGGCGCCGTGGCTCACACCTGTAATCCCAGCACTTTGGGAGGCTGAGGCGGGTGGATCACAAGGTCAGGAGTTTGAGACCATCCTGGCCAACATGGTGAAACCCCGTCTCTATAAAAAATACAAAAATTAGCTGGATGTGGTGGCGTGTGCTTGTAATTTCAGCTATTCGGGAGGCTGAGGCAGGAGAATTGCTTAAACCTAGGAGGCGGAGATTGCACTGAGCCCAGATTGCACCACTGCACTCCAGCCTGGTGATAGAGTGAGATTCTGTCTGGAAAAAAAAAAAAAAAAAAGTCAATGCAGCTAGGCAGGTATAATGCATGAGCATAATATGGGCATAACATATGAGCATAACATGGGAAGCCTATCTCATTGATATATACGATTTACTTGGTCTCTGCACCTGACAATCTCCTGGTCTAAAGCTTTAAAAATGTACTTACTGTTACCTTGTCACTATACTAATGTGCAAACATATGAAATAAGATAGAAAATGTCCACAAGGGCCAGTGATCAAAGGAAATAACAGACAACAAAAACACTACACACCCTTCTCTGAAATTTTCCATGAGAGCTGAGGGTTCAAGTGAATATTTCTTTCTCTTCTGGAAGACTCCTCATGAAGGTGGTAGCATAAATAATTATCCACAAAGGATTGTCAGGCATTCATCCCTAATGAAAACTACTAAGCCAAAACTAACAAAAAAAAATTGTAATGATAGTTTTGTAGCACAAAATAATTAAACTGAGGCAGGCAGAGGAAAGTAAGAGAATCCACATAACCACAGCTTACATCACTTTAAATCTCGACAGCCCCAGGTGGTGAGAACGAACCCAGTCCCAGCAGTCCAGGCTTCTCCGTTCCTCCTCTTGCAGGCACAGTTTGGGTAGAGACATCTCTTGGGCTCTTGCCCACTGACTTGTCATTCACAGGCATTCAAACTGTGATGTTTGAAACCGTGCACCTCCGCAGATCCAGGGACAGTCCCTCCAGTCCAAAGGCTTACTGCAACTGGCCCTCAGCCCCCTTCAAACTGGACTTCTGGTTGCTTCTTTCCTTCTCCCCCTGAATTCGGAAGAGCTTCTTCCTGAGGTCCTTCTGCCGCTTCAGCTTCTCCTCCTCCTCCTTCTGCTTGGCTCTGAAGTGCTCCTTATTGTGCAGGTGCTGCTGCTCCTTGGCCTTCTTCATCTTCTGACTGTGCACCGTACTCAGAGCATCCAGCAGTGCGAGGATCTGACCAGGACAAAAGCCAGTGAGTATCAGAATGCTCTCAGCCACCTGACACACTCGCATCCTAAACACTAAGACTAGAGGCAACCCATGATCCAAATGAATATTAACTGCATGAAAATGCATCCTGCGCTAGGAAGTCATTGTTGGCATGGAGACACAGGTGTGATCGCATTTTACCTTTACCACCTGTGTTCATCATTCTGTGGACACTGTGTGCAGCTAACCAAGACAGAGGAGTTCTCCAGCCATGTGCCTGTTATCCCCACCAAAAGCACAGGGCAGAGCAGACCAGGCAAAGGAAGGGAAATGGACTCTGGCTCTTCCTCTGACTTTAGTTCCAGTGCCCTGAATAACTGAGACTGCAGTAGAAACAGGAAGTGTGCTGCTGAGAGCGTTCTTTTCCTATTTAAACGCAGCATGCAGTACAGCATGGGCAACAGTACCTGTCTTTCATGAGGCTCGCGTATGACGGCCGGTCTCCACCTGTTCTTCGGCACCTTGCCTGCCTTTGCTTGGTTCTTGGGCTTGTTCTTAAATGTCAGGGCCTTCTGCGAGGCTTTTGGAATCTGCAGTGAATTTTTGCCTCAGGATTGCCTTAGGACTGGCTAAAAAGAAAAATAAAGACCGTGACATATTCAAATTATGACCAATGTGTATTTAAAACTTCTGCATAAAATCTTCTCATTGGGTTGACTTTTCCACAAGATCAGCAACACCAGAGTACACTGGCCCTGAGAAATCAGGTCTCAATCATCCGCCAAATATGAACTGCCTCAGTGGACCCCCATAATTCTTGGTAAACAGAGGAACAGAGAGCTTATACTTACAACTCTCCCCCCAAAACCCTCTGTGCCCATTTCTATGGTATGGAACTATGGGGTCTCAACAGAGCAGATGAATAGATCCCAGTTTCTTTTCATGGAAATTTTAGGCCTTGTCTTTAGGCCACTGAGGTGGTTATTTCCCAGCCTAACAAAAATAATTTAGTTTTTCATCTTGACTACCAACCACTCTAGATACTGGGTTTTTCATTTGTTTGTTTGTTTGTTTGCTTGCTTGTTTGAGATAGAGTCTCGCCCTGTCGCCCAGGCTAGAGTGCAGTGGCACAATCTCAGCTCACACAGCCTCCACCTCCCGAGTTCAAGCAATTCTCCTGTCTCAGTCTCGCAAGTATCTGGGACTACAGGCACACACCACCATGCCCAGCTAATTTTTGTATTTTCAGTAGAGATGGGGTTTCACCATGTTGGTCATGCTGGTCTAGAACTCCTGACCTCAGGTGATCCACCTGCCTTGGCCTCCCAAAGTGCTCGGATTACAGGCATGAGCCACCACGCCTGGCCCACTCTGGATTTAAGGACAGTTCTTCCTTCAGTCAGCAGCCAAAGAGTCCTGATTCCTGATTCTAATTAAGAAGTTTAACTTTATTCTATTTCTGATGGAAGGCTGGCTGAAAGAAGGGAGACTCAAAAACAGATGAAGGCAAAATACTCTGTACTGAATTTTCAAGGTAATTTTAAATTCTATGTTTAATCAAGATGGCACAAATTCTTAATTGCCTCATAAATACTATTAATAAATTGAAAGTTTTGACCTAGGCTTTTATTAAAGTCAATCATATAGAAAAAGTTTCTCCTATGTCTTGAAATGTATTATTAAAGACATCATCCCCAATAATATTCCATATTCTCTGTTTAGGAACCCCAATTGTTTTCGAATTCAAGAATTCAGAGAAATCTGCTTCTCACAGAAGAGTAGAATGGATAATGGGCACCACATCCTGAAGTGTATTTTAATAAAAATTCATGTAAGACGGTTCAAAATTTCATTAACTACTTTATATAAAAAAAATGCCTGGGAGACTTCTGTTTCTAGCAGAGTGGCAGACTGATGCCTTGAACAACCCTCTTCTTACAAAACTGAATACTCCACATGAAAACAAATCTTTTCAAATACGTTGTTAAGCTATGAAGAGAATAACGAAATTTCTAAGAAACCAAAAATCTAAATGAAAATAGAAGTCCAGACAGGCACTGAACACCTAAAAAAAAAAAGAAAAACAAAACAAAACAAAACTTGAATTGTCTTCAAGCATGTGGAACAGCAGGAACTCTTTAAGCTGCTGCTGCTGGTGGAGGCCAAGCCACTGTGCTCCCAGAACACGACACAGAAGCCTCCACACTGAGGCAGAGCACAGGTGCCCTGGAGTCTCCACCCCACCCAGGGATCCTCCAGCAGAAGTGTGTGTGCCCCTGCATACCCGCAAGTCCCATATCCAGACCTAGCGTTCAGGGCCATGGGATAACGGCCAAAAATAGGAAATCATTTTACTCATCAGTGGATAAATGGTGACACAGTCATATAATGGAACTCAACAATGACAATAAATCAATGTCTGCCATAGACAAGAACATGGTTGTGTCCTATAATACTGAAGCAAAGAAGCCAGGCTAAATAGAATGTGTTGTATTTTATAAAATTCAAAACCAGGCAGAACAAATCTATGTCAGGAACTGGGAAAGTGGCTATTTTGGGGGGCGGGGTGGGGCAGCAGTGCCTGGGATAGGCTTCAGGGTAAGGCTACTGCTTGGTCCAGGGTGTGGCAGCCTGGTGTGCTACAGTTTATCTAGCTGCACACCTGCAATTTGGGCACTCTTCTGTATGTACATTAACATTTTAATAAAAAGCTTATTAAAACATTAAAACTTTCAGAAAAATCCACATTGCTTCAATAGAAATTAGCACATTGATGCTTTAAAAATACATGTATATGGTGGGGGAAAAAGTGGTTCAAAAGAGTACCCAGTGAAAAGTTTAAGAGGGAGGGACACCAGCAAGGGGCCAATCAATAGTCCCCTGCGTTTGTCCTCTGACAAAGACAGCCAAAGCAGCAAACAACTATATTTTGATGAAGGTTCTAAAGGAGAGCCCCAGAGTGCATCAAGGAGTAGCAGAAATCCAGTAGAGCACAGAAAACCAGGACGGTCACATAAAGGAGAGAAGGAAATATCTGTCCCCCACCACCCATCCCCAGAGGGATCAGCCTGAAGCAGAGGGGATGTCTCCCTGCGGAGATAAGGAAGCAAAAGGGGCCCAGCAGCCCCAGCACTCCCCTCAGAGAAGGAACTGACGTTGCGCCCCACCCCTGTGGACCAGCTGCTGCTGCAACGTGACCTCCTGGACCCGGAACCACTTCGGGAGCATGTCCCGCCCAGGGTGAGCAGCCACCGCACCTTTCTACCATCCTCAGGGTTTGTTGCTCTGTATCACCCCCGCCTAGTGGCCCACCACCCCTGAGCTGCTGTTACACTGTCTTAGGCCATTTAGTATGGCTGTAACAGAATACCTGAGACTCGGTAACTTATTTTATAAAAAAGGTTTATTTGGCTCACCCTGCTTGTGTCTGAAAAGTCTGAGATAGGGCAGCACATCTGGTGAGGGTCTTGTGCTGCTTCATCTCATGGGGAAAGTGGAAGGGGAAACAGGTGTATGCAAAGGGCTCACATGGCAAGAGAGGAAACACGAGAGTCTAGGAAGCTGAACTGACTCTGATAATCCACTCCTGGTAACTAATCCAGTCCCATGAAAAGGCCTAACCTATTCATAAAGGATCTGCCCCAGTGACCTAAATACCTCCCACTAGGCCCCACCTCCACACCACCACATTTGGAATCAAATTTCAACATGAGTGCTGGTGGGAACAAACGAAGTCCACATCACAGCATACACCCTACCCTGTGGGGCCAGGCTGCTGTGCCCCTCCCCTCCCAGCTGCAATTGCGCCCTGCCCCTTGGGCCCTGAGCTGACTTGGTGCCCTGCTTTCCAGGGAATCAGTGCCTTGGCTACCCAGAGCAGACAACCTCTCATTGCATGAGAGCTGCAGCACTGCCCCGCTTCACAGGGAATCAGTCTTGGCTGAGCTGAGCAGCCACACCTGACAGGGATGAGACAACATGGCACCCCCACATCCCAGGAAAATAGCATTGGCTGAACTGGGATATCTTGCCTTCAGGACAAACAACTGTGGAACCCTGCTTTCTTGAAACTGGACTATCCCTGGAGAATCTGAGTTGCCCAGGCACCTGCCTCTCCAGGGAGAGAAGTAGTTGTTGCGCTGGTCCCTGCCCCCAAGGGCCCAAGCCACAGCAGTGCTCCACCATTCTGGGGTCCTTGCTGGTGCTGTACTTGGCCTCATGGAGACTGGGATGCTGCTGTGTTCCACCACTCCAGGGTCCAGAGTCACTACCACGTAACTCCCATGTCCAGAGTCACTCCCATCCCCTGGGGGTTTACTTCTTAAACTTCTCCCAAAAATAGAGCGAGAGGAAATAATTCCAAACACATTTCACCAGGCCAGTGCCACCTTAATACCTAAGCCAAACCAAAACACACACATACACACACAAGAAAAACTACAAGTCAACTTCTCCAATAAACACTGATGCAAAAATCCTAAAAAAATTTTAGCAAATAGAATTCAACAACACATCAAAAAGATTATACATAATGATTAAGTGGGATTATTCCCTGGTGTGCAAGCCTGGTTTAACATATGCAAATCAATGTGATATATCACATTAACAAAATAAAATGTAAAACCACATGGTCACCTCAATTGATGCAAAAAAAGCATTTAACAAAGTTTAGCAACATTTCTTCATAAAACCTCTTAATAGTTTATGTATAGAAGGAAAGTTTCTCAACATAATAAAGACCATTTATAAAAAACCCACAGTCTACATCATAGTTAGTGGGGAACAACTGAAAGCTTTTCCACTAAGATTGAGTACAAGATAGAGATGCCCAGTCTTGTCACTTGTATTCAACATAGTACTAGCAAGAGCAATCAGATGAGAAAAAAAAAAAAAGGCAACTAAATTAAAGAAGTAAAATTATCTCTATTTGCAGATGACAAGATCCTTTATCTAAAAAACCCCAAGGATTCCACAAAAAAACTGTGAGAACTACTAAATTGATTCAGTTAAGCTGCAAGGTATAAACTCAACATATAAAAATCAGTCGCATTTCCATATACAAATAACCTAGTTGACAAAGAAATCAAGAAAATAATCTCATTTACAACAGCATCAAAGAAAAACAAAAACTTAGGAATAAATTTAACCAAGAAGGTGAAAGATGTGTACACTTGAAAACCATAAAACATTGATGAAAGAAATTTAGACATGAACAAATGGAAAGATATCCTATGTTCATGGTCAGAAGAATTAATATTGTTAAAATGTTCACACTGCCCAAAGCAAATATACAGATTTAAAACAATTCTCATCAAAGTTCTGATGGCATTCTTCACAGAACAGAAAAACACAATTCTGGCCGGAAGTGGTGGTTCACACCTGTAATCCCAGCACTTTGGGAGGCCGAGGCAGTGAATCATGAGGTCAGGAGTTGGAGACCAGCCTGGCCAACATAGTGAAACCCTGTCTCTACTAAAACCACAAAAATTAGCCAGACATGGTGGCACGTGCCTGTAGTCTCAGCTACCTGGGGGACTGAGGCAGGAGAATTGCTTGAATCCAGGAGGTGGAGGTTGCAGTGAGCCAAGATCGTGCCACTGCACTCCAGCTTGGGTGACAGAGTGAGACTTCATCTCAAAAAAACAGAAAAAACAATCCTGAAACTCATATGGAACCATAACAAATCCCAAACAGCCAACAGATTACTGTTAGAGAAAAAGTTGGAGACATCACATCTCCTGATTTAAAATTGTATTACAAAACTATAGTAATCAAAACAGTATGGTACTGGCATAAAAACAAACAAACAAAAAATAGACCAATGGAACAGAACAGAGACTTTTGAAATAAAGGTCATATACTGCCAACTAATTTTTGACAAGGGCAAATAAGACAACACAATGGAAAAAAAGATATTCTCTTCAATAATAGTGCTGGGAAAACTGGATTTTCACATGCAAAAGAATAAAATTGGACCCTGATCATACACCACACACAAAACTTAACTCAAAACAGATGCAAGACCTAAAGAAGACCTGAAACCATAAAACTCCTAGAAGAAAACATAGGGGGAAAGCCTCTTGATATTGGCCTTAGCAATAATTTTTTGGATATTGCACCAGAAGCCAGGCTAACGCAAACATAAACAAGGAGGACTGCATCAAGCTAAAAAGCTTCTGCACAGCGAAAGAAACAACCAATAAAATGAAAAGGGAACCTACAGACTGGAAGAAATATTTGCAAATCACATATCTGATAAAGTGTTAATATCCAAAAATCAGTAAAGAACTCTTACAACTTACGAGCAGAAAAACAACCCAGTTGAAAAATGGGCCAAATAGGAAATGACCAATAGTAAATGGGGAGACATACATTAAAATAATACAAACTAGCAGACATGCAGGATGAAAAACTTAAAGATCTAATGTACAACATGAGGGCTATAGTTAATAAAAATGTGTTGTCTTTGGGATTTTTGTTAAATAAGATTTTAGCTGTTCCTGTCAAACACAAAAAAATGAAACTATGTGAGATGGTAGATACATTAATTTGCTTCACTGTAGTAACCAGTTTACTATATGTATCCTTTAAGATCATGTGGTCAACCTCAAATATATAAAATAAATTTTATTTTAAAAAAGAAAAGTTTGTCTTCAATCCAGAAAGAACCACTATTACCATTTTTTGGTGTTCCGTTACAAAATATTCCGTGAATATACAACTGTTCAATCAAATTTAACATTAGACTTTATACTTGAACATTCAAAGCATGTAAGAAATTATAGAAAAGTGTCTGTGTGACTCCCTGTCTGCAGGGCACAGACTGCATCTCCACTAACACACACGCGACCGGTACCTTACACAGAGAGTCCTTGTTCGCCTTTAGTCTGACGCCATGGGTAAGCCCGAGTTGGCTGGTGGTCCACATTCCTGACCAGGTGTCTTTCTCACCCACTGGGTTTCAACAAAGATGCTACTGGGTTATAGAAGGCTGGGATGGAAACAGGATACCAAGTTTGCATGAAGACAATATCTGAAAAGAGAGGTAATTTACTTTAACGTTTTCAAAAGGAGATTCATATCCATATTGTGAAGAAACAAAGAACAAAACCTTCACTCCAAACTTCTCTACCTGGTTGCAAAGTATTGAAGGGAAAGCTCGCTAAGAAATATTCTCATAGATCACAGAACTGTTACTGGGTGTGGCCAGGAGACTGCAGACACAAGGCGAATGGGCACACCGCATAAGACTGGGAGATCTAAGGCTGGAGCTGATCAACTCTCTAGAGACCTGACTCCAGCCTCTCGTCACACTGGCTAGAAGTCAAGCATGAATGGTAACACCCTGCCCTGAACACTACTCAGGACACTCACCACTCATCAGCAGCTTATCCTGAAAGCTGGCCCGGAAAGCTCCTTCTGGAGCTCAGAGCGCTTTCTTGATCTGCCCCCTTATCCCACTGACAGTTCGAATCACAGCACCTTCAAATTTGGCTACTTCCAAGGCAGAATTAAACATTCCCTACAGGTATAGCAAGATAAAAACACACACAAAATCATATACTTTATGCTTTACTTCTTCCCTCAAACATATATCCTTGGTTAAAGAAAAAAAACAACTCACTGAAGGGTGATACAATAATCAAAATGTATTTGCCCCTGAAAGTAGAATTACTACCTCAAAAATACAACCCTTTCATTTCCCCCAAAATAATCATGTGGGTTCATGGGCATGCTCATCACCGCTGTCTGTGTGGAAGAGAAGATCGAAGAGGGATTTACTGGACTGAACTGGCCTAGGCAGCCTTTGCTGGCGTCTCTCAGACTGGACTGCCGCTCAGATCCTTTTACTCAGGTGCATACACTTAGAACATGAAAACAGTAAGATAAACGCCGGTGGTATTATTACCTTATATTGCAAGAACAATTTTATGATCTTCCTAACTCTGTGTTTCTAATGGAAACATCCCCACTAATGAAATTGTCAATAAATGCTGCTCAAACCACCCTCCCCAAATACTGAAAAACAGTACATCTGTTTCTCTGTACCCTTGCCAAGTTGTCTGCAAATGCTTTGTCGATTTTTCTGCTGAATGGTTAGACAAACTTGTGATTTTTTTTTCCTTTGTTAACACAAATTTAAAAAGTAGGAAACAAAACCCAGTGGATAAAATGACATATTTTCAATATGACTTCTGTGGCAGTCTCACATGGAAGTCATGAGTAACAGCCTCAAAAATAGCTGTTTTACTACTGCTTTCTTCGGCACAGTTAAGTAACAGAATATAAAGGAACAAACAAAATATGAAGTTTATAAAAGATTTCAAATACTTTTCTAAAAACATGAGGCCCATATTTTAAAGGTATTTCATTCCTTTTCTCAAACAATATGGACATTTATAAATATGAGAATATATAGATATACAGACCTTAATAAATGAAGTATTCTTGAAAATTTTATATGGAAAACCAGTTAGCTTTAATTTCTTCACAATTTTTATGGATTTATCCAGATCAAGGACAACTCCTGTGGCAGCTATCCGAAAATCAGGCTAACAGGAACCCCAAAATTTGAAAATAGGAATAATATCAGCAAGAGAAAAACTTAATTCTATGTGACACAATACATTACCAAAGTGAATTTTACTTACAATTAGCTAAGAAAAACAAGAGAGACTATCTGAACTTGCAACCCAGTGGTCTGACAAAAGCAATCCAAAACTAAAGCTGGTAAGCCAAAATAACAAGGGTGACATGAGGCTGAGCACCGTGGCTCATACCTGTAATCCCAGCACTTTGGGATGCTGAGGTGGGCAGATCACCTGAGGTCAGAAGTTCAAGACCAGTCTGGCCAATATGGCAAAATCCCGTCTCTACTAAAAACACAAAAATTAGCTTGGCATGCCACCATGCACACCTGTAATCCCAGCTACTTGGGAGGCAGAGGCAGGAGAACCGCTTAAACCCAGGAGGCAGAGGTTGCAGTGAGCAAAGATCGTGCCACTGCACTCCAGTCTGGATGACAGACTGAGACTCTGTCTCAAAAAACAAAACAAAACAAAACAAACAAAAAACAAGGGCTACTTGAGTACTTTCCTGAGAGTGATTTCAGAGGAATGTTATTTCACTATAATGATTTATTTGGAATGAAATGGAAAAGAAAATACAGTTGCAATGTTTAGGAAATTAAAATTTGGACCTCCAGGGCAGATTCCATCTGCTCATTATTCTGCTTTCTTCTCTGTTAAATGGGACCGATAAACCCCGCCCTGCCTGACTGGTCAAATGAAAATGGTGTGAACAGACTGCTACCCCAGCACGGCTGCAGGGAGTCTCGTGTCTGGCTGGTCTCTGATGGCTCCTCACAACCTCATATAGTGCTTGGCACATGGTGAGCACTTCTTAAGTACTTGCTTAGATAAATAAATCCAAAAGATGCACAAAAATAGGAAATGTACCATTATAATTCTTCCACCTCCCCTCCTTTAATCCCACACCCTACTGAAAAGGATGTAGGAAGAGTAAAAGCAAAGGGAAATTTACTTTATATTAATAAAAATGAGTAATTTTCAACTTAAAAGTCTCATGTATATAACCCACATTCAGGATATATTTCTCAACCAATCTGTAAAAGAAATCATCCAAGATAGTTACCATTATGCCCACTGACAGACTGTATTGCCAAGAAACCAGTTCCCTGTGGAGTGATAGGCCTTAAAGGAAAAGCAAAAAAGAAATATAGCAAACCACAAATTTTAGATTCTAGTTTAACATACTGGATATGGACATTTGGATTTGGATATAGATTTACATATATACTCCAAACCACCTCCCCGCTCCCAGAAAAGAGAAAAATCTTAGGAGTGAAATTTTATGAAAGGAAAAGCAAAAAGCTATAATAATGCAGCCTGTAAGGTTTAATCTCTGCAATAGGCAAGTTATTGTAATCATATTTTACCCCAAAAGGCTGCTCCGCAATGCATGTGCTGTGGCGTATACTTTAGAAGCCTTTGTCTTCCATTGTGGTCTTCGATATAATAGAGTGGGATGGTCTGAAACCTCCTCCACCCTACAGAAAATATGATTGGATCTCGGGACTTGAGGATTTTCTTATACCAGCGATGTTTCTTCAGACGCATCTGAGGGGACGAGAGGGTAAGATGATTGATGGAGGGAAAATCCACAGAGCCTCAGGCACCAAATACCCAGCAAAGGGACCCACCTGCACGTATCCAACATTTCCCTCACTGTTGCCCAAGCCACCCAGGATAATGGAGTAATGGGGGTCAAAGTTCTGCACAAATTCACAGGGAACATTTTCAATCTCAACGCGGACGTACATCCCAGGTCGAAAACCCTCATACTGAACTCTGGCTTCATCATCTTGATCTTCAAATTCTGCGCGATTCAGCTACACATGACAGGAAAAAAAAAAAACAAACCCATATGCCGTTATCTGTAATAAACATAAGAGTAACATGAACAAAGGCGCAATTTCTAAATAAAGGAACTATGGACAGAATTATGTAGGCTTTATCCTATTAAAAATACTACACATTTGGCCAGGCACAGAGGCTCACGCCTGTAGTCCCAGCACTTTGGGAGGCCGAGGCAGGTGGATCACATGAGATCAGGAGTTTGAAACCAGTCTTCAATATGGTGAAACCCCGTCTCTACTAAAAATACCAAAATTAGCTGGGTGTGGTGGTGTGTGCCTGTAGTCCCAGCTACTCAGGAGGCAGAGGTGAGAGAACTGCTTGAACCCGGGAGACGGAGGTTGCAGTGAGTTGCGATCGTGCCACTGCACTCCAGCCTGGGCAATAGAGTGAGATTCCGTCTCAAAAAACAAAAAGCAAGAAACACACAAACAAAAAAAACCTACACATTTTACCTCTACAGTCTGTTCAGAATATGTCCCAACCGTTTTCTTCTCTGCTGCTCCAAGGGACAGCAAATGTAGATAACTCTGTGGAGCCCTGCGTGCCTGAGCACTGGAAATGTCTCCAGTCCACAACTTCTTTCCTTCCTCTCCAAACAATTCTTTCACACTTTTCCCGTCTTCAAACACCCAACACCAACCCACTCAGCTGATGGCTGTTTCCTGATTCACTCCAAAACCAAAAGAACCTCCCTGGTCAACCCTCTACCAGGGTTTCCTCCCATATCCAGCCTTATCAGAGTTCTGACCTGGCCCATAGGGGAGCTATGTGTGGCTATTTAAATTAAAATTAATTACAATTAGGTAATATTTAAAATGCAGTTCCTCAATCATACTAGCCACACTGGAAGTGGTCCATATCAACCTGCGGCCAAGGTTACAATACTGGGAAGCAAAGACGTGCATCTCCATGATCACAGAAAGTTCTACGGGCAGCTCAGGAACAGATGATTTGTCCAGGCTTCTACTCAGGGCCACACATCACTTGCTCACTAGACACCATCCACTCTTCCTGGACTTTACTCCAACAGCTGTTCCCTCTGTTCCCTCTCTTATCTCAAAACCTTTTGATTCCACTTTTTCCACCAACAACTGCTCCATTTCTCTGCTTCTCTCTGCAGCAAAACCCCACAAAAGTTTTCTGCAGTCACAGCTTCCAGTTCCTCTGCTCCCATTCTCCTACCTCCATGAAAATTGGTGCTTGCCAAGACCGATGAAGGCCCCCACACTGAAGGACTCTTCCAGTGGTCAACTGTGCCTTCACCATAGTTAACATGGCAGCAGGGTCTGAACAACGCTTCGCCTCCGTGTACAACTGGCTTCCCGTGTGCCTGCATGCTCACACTGCTTCTCCTGCCTGGGCACTGCTCAGGCCTCACGGCCACAGTCGCCCCATCTTGCCCATGCCAGTCTTGCTCCTCCCACTCACTCTGCACTCACTCCCTGGCCACCTGACAACGTTAAGTGGCATCTACATGCTGAGGGCTGTACATCTAAGTCCCTGGCGAGACCTCTCTCCAGACCTGACACTCCACTTGTCTGCATGACACCCAACCGAAACAAACATCATCTTCCCAAAGCTGCATCTGCAGAGGGTTTCCTGTCTAACTTACAACAACCCATCCTTCCAGGAACTTCCAGTCACCATCCTCATTCCTCTTACACACCCCACATTCAGTCCACCAGGAAATCCTACTGACCCAGCTTCTAAATAAAGTCTATCCGGGTTTGACTCTTTGTCTCATTTCCACTGCCAGCTCTCTGGTTTGTGCCACCTGCCTGATCTTTTGGCAGAGTGATCCGATTACCTTAATGTCTCTCCTCTGCTCAAAACCCTCCAAGGACTCCCATTTCAGAGTGAAACATTCAGTCCTTTTCCAACGGCCCACAAGGCTCTAGGTAATTTTAAATTGTAAATGGTGTGAAGCAAAAACTTCAGAGTTAGCCTAGTCATGCAATCAAGGTCAACACAGACTTGCAACCACGAAGCTAATGCCTAATCAGGAGATAGTTCTTTGACTAAATGAAGACCTAGATCTGTTCCAGCTTACACAGGCACTCCTGGCCTCACTAACAAGCGCAACTCAGATGCTCCCATCAACTGTACACATGTTTTCTGTGTCTGTCTCCTTCAGAGTGAGATTCACCGCCTCCAGCAACCTGCTCAGCACCCCCAGGCAGGAGGGCCACACCATATCCCTTTATCTCTGCATCAGACCTTACATTCCACATGTCCTTCTGAACTCTGACCAGGATGAGTTTTCAGAGCACTCCTCCTATGAGCTCTGGTGTGTCCATAAGCCACATGGGCCACTGATC